TTAAAATTGATAGGTAGAACTGAAGTACTGTAATACAGGTACAACACACCCGTCGTGAAGAAAATTATAATTTGCAACTGCCGAGCTAAGCTACACCTTAATTCGTTGAAAATATTGAAGTTTTGATATTTCTTTGTTTCTTGGTTTCTCTTTTTTTTTGTCAGTCATTAATTTATCATTTTCAAAGAGAACGTACTAAAAAAAAATCATACAATATAGTATAGGTTGACCAGATTAATTGCTAATTACGCCATCGTATCTAACCCAAAATTATTATTTTTTCCCTTGAGTATTCTGACAGGTGTTTGTGGCACGGAACACTTCATTATCATAAATAAAAATTGGATTTTTTTTGTTTTACTGGAATTTATACAAATAGTTTTTCTAGCTTTATCTGGTATTCATAGTGTGCCCTCATTAGGTAACACAATGACATCATTTAGCTCCATCCTAATTTCACCCCAGATATTCTTTGCGATATATAATGAAGAGCGTTTTCTCAATGTTTTGTTTTTAAAAAATCAGTGACAAAAAGTAATAAAAAGACGAAAAATAAAGAAACCCTATCACTATTTGCATATATGATGATAAAGGGCGGATCTTAGCTTGGCAGTTGCCAACTAGGAGGTCTTAATTTGGTACATATTTTATTTGACCACTGATTTTTTTTTATTTTTTTTTCAGAAGAACGAAAGGCATCTGCTGGCATGGGTGTTCGCCATGACATTGTTCTGTTTCCCCGAAATGGGCATGGTGGTCTTCATGAGCCTCGTCCACTGGGTAGGATTTGAAGATTTGTGATATATATATATATAAAACACATACACACACACACACACACACACACGTGTATATACATATCATCATCATCAAAGGGCTAACGCCGACGGGGGCGCATGGCCACATCCACCCTTCGCTTCCAGCCATGAGGGTCCTTCATGGCGAGTCTGTAGGCAGGCCCATCTCTAACTCCTCGCGACAGGTCTCGTCGAGCTGCCCAAGCCATGATCTCCTAGGTCGTCTCGTAGAGACAATCCTGGGAGGATCCACAGGGAAGCGAGCAAAAGTGCTTATATAGCCTGAGTTGGCGATCCCAGATTATGCAAGCCTTATAGTGTAGCCGTCGGTTGGACACATGATCCTACCATCTGTACCCCATGATCCAGCGAAGAGACTTGTTACAAAAGGCATCAAGACGAGACTCCAAAGCACTAGATAGCGTCCAGGTTTTGCTTCCATAGAGCAAAACTGGCAGTACCAGGGCCTTGAAAATATGTAGTTTGGTCCTTCTGCATAGGTACCAACTTCTCCAAATGCTCTTTTGATCGAGTTCATGGCTCCTGCTGGAAGAACAATCCATCTACTGACTTCTTGTCAGTAGCTTTGCATACCAAGGTATGCAAAGCTCTCTGTGACTCTCTTCACTGCAGGCATGGATCGACTGAACGGATTCCCATTAACAGGCCTCCAAAGTCCTGAATCTTGGTTTTGGTCCAGGGTACTCCCTAGAGGTGATGGCCATCGCCACGGCCCTATCAGAAGTAGGTGTACCCACCCATACTGATTGTGCCATTGCCAGGTCTTCTCGCCTCCAAGAGGGCAGCCACCTCAACTCAACCGCTCCAATACCCTGGATAGCAGAGGTCCTGCCACAAGGACTAAATGTTCCAAGCAACTATCTGGATAGCTTGCCTGAGGTTAAGCTTCTGGCGGTCGCTCCAGGTGGACGCACCTCTGCCACCCTCGCCGACACTGCCCCAAATAAAGGGGGGCGGCAGGCTGTGCCCCACAGGCCTCATGCTGACGCCAGCCTGCCAGGTCGCAGGAGTAACTCCCATTCCCATCCTGCACCCCACATTTGCCCTCCCAATGGAACCCACTGCCCACCTCGCTTGCTCGGTGAGGGACAACACATCCATTTATTTTTGACACTGCCAGTGAGTTATCTGGGGGGAGGAAGACTGGCAAGTCCCAACTACTCTGAGCTACCCATTAACCCCAGGGTTGCTGAACGCCATGGCTCCATACCTCTATATCTATATCTACACAAGACGCATGGACACAATAGGCACACCCACATTTTAACAGGTCATGGGCTTCTTCCTCCCAGGATTGTCTCTACGAGAGAATCCTGGGAGGATCCACAGGGAAGCGAGCAAAAGTGCTTATATAGCCTGAGTTGGCGATCCCAGATTATGCAAGCCTTATAGTGTAGCCGTCGGTTGGACACATGATCCTACCATCTGTACCCCATGATCCAGCGAAGAGACTTGTTACAAAAGGCATCAAGACGAGACTCCAAAGCACTAGATAGCGTCCAGGTTTTGCTTCCATAGAGCAAAACTGGCAGTACCAGGGCCTTGAAAATATGTAGCTTTGGTCCTTCTGCATAGGTACCAACTTCTCCAAATGCTCTTTTGATCGAGTTCATGGCTCCTGCTGGAAGAACAATCCATCTACTGACTTCTTGTCAGTAGCTTTGCATACCAAGGTATGCAAAGCTCTCTGTGACTCTCTTCACTGCAGGCATGGATCGACTGAACGGATTCCCATTAACAGGCCTCCAAAGTCCTGAATCTTGGTTTTGGTCCAGGGTACTCCCTAGAGGTGATGGCCATCGCCACGGCCCTATCAGAAGTAGGTGTACCCACCCATACTGATTGTGCCATTGCCAGGTCTTCTCGCCTCCAAGAGGGCAGCCACCTCAACTCCCAACCGCTCCAATACCCTGGATAGCAGAGGTCCTGCCACAAGGACTAAATGTTCCAAGCAACTATCTGGATAGCTTGCCTGAGGTTAAGCTTCTGGCGGTCGCTCCAGGTGGACGCACCTCTGCCACCCTCGCCGACACTGCCCCAAATAAAGGGGGGCGGCAGGCTGTGCCCCACAGGCCTCATGCTGACGCCAGCCTGCCAGGTCGCAGGAGTAACTCCCATTCCCATCCTGCACCCCACATTTGCCCTCCCAATGGAACCCACTGCCCACCTCGCTTGCTCGGTGAGGGACAACACATCCATTTATTTTTGACACTGCCAGTGAGTTATCTGGGGGGAGGAAGACTGGCAAGTCCCAACTACTCTGAGCTACCCATTAACCCCAGGGTTGCTGAACGCCATGGCTCCATACCTCTATATCTATATCTACACAAGACGCATGGACACAATAGGCACACCCACATTTTAACAGGTCATGTACAAGAAAAGAATGGACCTATCTTCTCTTATACATTTTTTCTCTAAGTGCGTCTTATATTCTGTCAAATAGGGTATGCATGTGTAATTTTTCTATGGAATACATATGTGCACACACACACACACAGTGTATGTGTAAAGAACTGACCAGTGAATGAGTCAAGATGTAAATTATTTGTATTTTATTGTATGCGACTGTAGATAGATTTCAAATGGCTGGGCATATTGACTGTAATTTTGTCCAAATGACATTACCATAACCCCTAAAATGCTAGTCCAAATCATGTAAACAACATTATGGGTCATAAAAGTTAATCCAGTATTAAAGTTTAAGTCAGATCTCTAGTGCACATGCGAGATGGCAGCATCCAGGATTAAATTTAATTCACCTCCGGACCAGACTTTACCGACGTTATGAACTCCATAGAAAAGATGTATGAGAATCGTCATCAATATATATTTTTATAAGTTGTGGGATATTCAAACTGCAGATATAATTCTCAATGTTGAAAAGAAAACCGAAAAGAAAATGCCACAGAGAATTCCAGAGTTTATAGACACAGAAAAGGCAATGCTATTTTCAGACTGGAAAAACCATTCCCAACTTATGCAGTATATTAATCGAATGAGAGAAAGCTTTTAATAACATGATTAAATTTCACATTCAAAGTACAAACATCCTGATTCTTTAAACTATAGTGACTTCAAAACCTTGTGGACATTTGTTATCATGATCCTCAATAGTAACACCCTGAAAACCTACCCTACCCGAGTCCCGCGATCACACACGGGAAAGAGCTCTTGGAGAAAATTTCCGCGAATTTGAAGCCATTTATATAATTTTATTTGAACTGACACCAATGTATAGAATGATAACATACTAGCATATTTGTGTATATATTTTTCTTCTGTTGCAAACGTTTCCTTATCGAAATTAGCATATAATGTAAAACTAGTAGAGGGTGAATGCTAATTGCCATTACACAGATACCCGGTTATTCATGTAAAACAGCAGATTTACTGATAATCGCACTGACTCGTTCGCCTTTCAGTGTGTATTGCATCTTCTGTACAAGTACCGTGGATTTGAATTAACTTTAATCCGGAATTAAATATTATGACTCACACAGAAGACATCTAAAGTATCAGTATAAAGTACTATCCTTCTGGATAGGGGTGTCATAGAACGCCAGGCCTTTCCAAGAGGGCCTTCAGATGAAATCCTTCTCCCTCTGACCTGGGAGCAGATAATCTGGTAATCTTTGCTGTCGCTACTGCCACAGTCTCTTGCATTTCACTGTCGAGTCCCTTAGGCCATACAGTGCAAACAAGTTACAATCAAAGTCAAGTAATGCAATGTTGCCAAAGTTATTACTAATGATACATATAAAAAGTTGTCTGTTATCCACAGTAGGCTTCATCTGGGGCTGCAAACTCGAATGCGTCACGAATTGCCCCGGATCTCAGCCACAAAAGTTAGAATAAAGGCCCTTAAACTCAGACCGTGCTGTGAAAACCAGTCCACGCTCACGAGATGAACGTTTTAGTAAAATGGTTATAATAATCATAATTTTGACATACTTCCAGAGAAAGTATAAATTCTTGGAACCAGAACCTCTCAGTGTTGCTCACACTAAAACCCAAAATCAACCAACTAGTGTGGTTCCTCATGACTACTCATTGGTTTTCATTACTTGTCCTGCAGATGTTATGTGTTAACATGCTATTCTCTTTTGGGTGATGTATGGTTACACTCACTTACAGCGGGGAATACACGCACTCATGCGCACACACATACATGTATGTGTGTGTATATGTATGCATACACAAGCAAACATATATAGTTATATTCCCGAACGCTTTGCCTATTCTTTCGGCACACACACACACACACACTGTAAGGGTTCTATAAGAGACCTCTAAACATTGATGACAGGGATAGTAAAAGCTTAGTGGCTAAAAACTCTTTTATTGATAGAGCTAGCACACAGAGAATAAACACAAGATGACAAGGCTTGGGTTAAGGCGAGGGCGCCTAGGTCAGACGGCAAGCCCTGTCAAACGGCAACCTGGCCGCGGGGTCAGGCGTGACACGCTGCGGCACAGAACACTCTGCCTCCAGGGATAAGGATAAGTTCGATATGCGAAGCTGAGCTGAGCTCGGGCTATGGGGGAGCCCGGCCTGTGCCGACTAATGTCGACTCGCTAACAGTGTGTCAGCAGATGCTGACTCGGATGAGCTTAGTCCTTACCCACCGTGGTGCCCAGCCACAGCAGTAACCTCCAGGCGACAATTGCAACTTCTCGCGCCTGGGCGGGGCGCGAACCGCCGACCCCTCGGATGAGAGGCCGACACGTTACCACTGTACTAGCCCGGAGGCTAGCCTCCAGGGATCATCTGCAGGCCCTGAATATCCGAGCGTTGGCTTGGGAACGAAGGTAGGCAGCATTCCTCCAAGCCACGGGGCTGGGCGGCGTGGGGAACGAGGCTAGGTAGCGTCCAAGCCAGCAGGTAGCTAGTGTGGGCGGCAATGCTGCTGGTACAAGCATCCACGTGGTCTTTATACAGTATATTTTATACACACACACTCACACACTCACACACTCACACACACACACACACACACACACACACACACACACACACACACACACACACACACACACACACACACACACACACACACACACATATATATATCTGTGTGTATGTATGTATGCACAAGCAAACACATAGACATCTAAGTCAATGAGTTCATAGTTATAGACTGCAACTTGACTTTATCACCTATATGTAACTAAGAAAAGCAATTTTGCAGAAAATTACTTCAAGTTACGGGCTAGCAGATCTCGTGTTCTATATCTTCCGAGCAGCTTTTAATGTAAGTATGAATATTTTATTGTATTTGAATACTTGTTACTTGTTAGTTATCTTTAACAATGCAAAAAGTGTTTCACTGTCATATGGTAATTTTCTCAACAGCTGATATCAGTCCTGTGTGTGCAGTCACAATATTCTACATGGCGTGATGCTGCCATCAACAGCCAGACACTCAAGACACTAGATCATTTGCATATGGTAAGAATCTATAGGTGAATCTATACTTGGTACCTATTTAGGTACTGAACATGGAAACTAATATAGAGTAAGAACAGGCATTATTCCTCACCCTTGGGTATGAAAGAGGTTTTATTAGAGCAATATTTTTCAAACTATCTACCAAGTTTCATTTTTTTCTTCTTCTCGCAACCCTTTGTAAATTCTTACCCCCTAGCACTGTAATATACTTTGATACATGTTTGCCCATTACATTACATTATTGGAAGTTGGTGAACATCTCTTTTCGGTTTTTATCAGTTTATTTGCATATACCTTGATACATTGTGATACACTCTGGAGAGCCAATCAGAGGGTGATATTTTTCAATTACATTTCACATAGTCTCAAACACGTATTTATATTTTCATTAATTCCTAATTGCACCGTATGTTTCTTGATATAGCCTTTTTAGCAGTACATCAAATACATATTAACTCAGGATGGGTAAAATCAGAAATCAGTTATACGGTCGCTGAAACTGCATGATAAGACATTGCAACATGTCTGAGTCATATGACGTGCTATTGACTTCGATTATCCTCCCTTTGTTGTTCTCTTTGCACTGTATCAAAGTGTTGAGGGTTTTGGCATGCTGCAAAGAGGACTTTGTATGCATGCATCTATATATACAATCACGAACCAATCAATGGAGCTTACGTCTGGCCACTTCCTCCCATGGCCTCCAGCCACGAGGCTCCCTCTCGGTGAGCCGTTTGCTTTCTATGGATGTACATAGTACTTATAGCTTCTTTGTTCCCAGTGCCACGTGGGGGTGAAAGGAGTAGGAAATAGTATTTAGTAGCACTCGGTTCAAATGATGTACCTTGCAATAATAAGAAAGACTTGTTTAAGCACTGCCCCTTTTTATATGGGTCGCTACATACATTTACACACAAACAGACAGACACACACACACACACACACACACACACACACACACACACACACACACACACACACACACACACACACACACACACACACACACACACACACACACAAACACACACACACACACACACACACACACAAACAAACACACACACACATACACACACACACACACACACACACACACACACACACATACACACATACACACATATATATGTGTGTGTATAGACATAGCAATTATAGTAGCAATTATAGCTAAATCAGCCATTTGGATGTGTTGCCTTTAATGAATTTTGGGCAATTTGTTTTTTCAGAGAACCATGAAGAAAGAAACCGGGGAGGATGGGAATGAAACTGTCCTGTCGTACAAGAACCCTGCCTTTGTTGCATATCCCGAGAATCATTCCATCAGCCACGGACATTCTACCATGCTGACTCGGTGAGTAAAGAGATAAAGCAGAGACCTTTGGTTCCCGGACCGGGAGCTGGGGCGCCCTTGAGTGCTATGGGCAGCAAGGATGAGAAATAGTCTCTCATTCTTGACGGGCAGTACCTTCGTATACCTGCAAAATTCCGGTGGCACATGGATTCTATGAACAGTATCTCGACAGAGAAGTGACACAAGTTCAGTCTGTTTTATGTTTGTATGCTTATTTTTTCTTATGTGTATTTAAGACTTAAACGTTTTCTTAAGCCTTTGGTGAATTTTATGTCATTTGGGCACATCTTTACTTTGTTTTGAACAGCAGTAATTCATGGAACAGACTAAGACACACTCTACCCTAAAGGTAAATTAACGTGAAATAGTCAGTGATAGAAAAGTTTACAGTACTATTAATGAGAAAAAGACAAATGATACAGGAGATAAAAGGGAGCGATGAAGTGATAGGACAAGAGGAAGATAGAAAGGAGGGACATTTGGGGCAATGAAAGAGTGAGTGAGTGAGTGAGCTTTCATGGGGTCAAGGTTAACAGGACCATCTCGTCTCTGAAGGGCCGCAGTTCTGTTGCTAGGCATAAACGCTGTCTACAGTATTGAACTGTTTATTCCTTACCAGGATGCCAAAGATGTTAAAACACAAGATGTTTCAAGGAGGGTGACATGTCACTTCATCAGCTCGTCATTACAAGGATATAGAGTATTACAGAATTCAGTATAGTACTGCCATAACCGAAGAGAAAGAAAATTAACAAGAATTCTGTAATGATGGGCAACCTAGTTGAGTGTCTGTGCTTTGAGATAAATACACATTGAGGTAACATTGCCATGACTTAACCTAGGGTGACCATAACAAGTAATCTTAAACATACTCAGACCACCCCTTCGGATAAAAACTTGTGTGACCAACCACTATGCAAGTAAAAAAATATATTGTATATTGTGTCAGGTGCATCATGGCTCAAAATATCTCGTATATCAGGCAAGCGAGAGTAACCCTAATGAATAATCTTTTGTATTGATAGGGCACTCTTAAAAGTAATCCCTGTGTGAATAACCAGTATGTAAATAAAAAGACAAAAAATCTTTGGTGAAGATCTCAGATACGCCGGACCCCGGAATCATATTCTACGGCGACGAGACTTAAGATTAATATATACAAGGTGTTCGATGATGTGCAGCTATTGTGATGTAAGCCTCTTCCAGTGCTATCATAACAGGGTGCATATTAAACTTCCATCATCAGTTACATGTACATTATTTTTTCTACCAAATACATTTCACCTTTCAATTGAAGATGATGGCCAGTCCCATCTTTATTTTGACAAAATCTTTGGTAGAATTCAATAAGTCTCCTCAATGTGGATTTCATCTGAAGAGTAGTATTGATGGAAGCTACCCCGAAGTGCGTCCGGCCACTGAAAAATAGCAAACGAATGGCCGGTGCTTCCATCGTGCTTGGTGCGGAATCGAGAGATATTTTCTCAGGTCTGCTCAATTTTTGGACAAAGTGCGTTTTAGAGACGACGGCTGAGATACAGGGGAGCAAGCTTAGAGTAGAATCCTATTAGTATGAGCCAGGAAATTCAGCTGATTCGGTAGTGGACAGAAATGCTAATATTGCCCACGGTTTGGCCAGCCAGGTAAAAACAGGGAAAAGGAGCGAGTGGCTAAGTAAATGAATGAGGGAAAGAAAAAGGGAAGTAGCGAAGAGAAAGTGCATTAAGAGATAAATGAGTAAAACATTAAAAGGAAAATTCATTAGAGGGGGAGAAAAAAGGAGAATCGATGAATAAATAAATGACACAGAGAGTTAATAAATGAATGCGTGAGAGGAAGAAAGACACATAGGTAGATAGAGAGAGATAGAGAGTAAATGAATGAAATGCGATAGAGAATACTGTAGTCGGTTACTTAAGATGGAGAGCAAGAATAGGGCCTGGGGAGACGGAATGCTTCCAGGACCTCATCAAGGCTCCTCGCGGTTTTCCAAAAAAAAAAAAGATTGCGACATCGCGGAATTTGTCAAACTGCCAACCATATTAATATCAGTTACTGAATAAATTTATCATATGATGCCAGAGATTAAGACTTGTTTAACTTTTAATTCATATTCATAAATCAAGTATCTTATGCCTAAAAAGGTAAGAACGAGTGAAAATGAGGCAGCTAAAGCTCTGTATATTTGCTAGTAGAATTTGCATTGTATAGATCTTGGTATTAACTAAATGATATATAGGGGAAATCGTGAAAAAATGCAAGGATTAATGGAATAGTCGTTTCAATATGATTGTTCAAATGAGATACATTTCTTCCCGAAAAAAAAAACATTTGAGTTCACTAAAGTAAGTATGAATAGTTTAATGAGAACTAAAA